GTGGGCAGCAGTCCCACCCGGCCCATCAAACGGGCGTCCATCTCCATGATCACGCCTTCCAAAACCGATCTTCAGATCAGCTCCATCAACGCTTTGAGCCCGACTGAAAGAGAAGTGTGTGTTGCCCGCCCATGTTGCAAAAGCACGTGTAACTGCACCCACGGCCTCAGATGGGGTGCCTTGAGCAAAACCGTAGGTGAGGTGATACTTATTGGCAGGCCATTTTGGGCTTCCTTGGAAGAAAGAAAAGTGAGCAATTGTGTGAGTTGAACCATGTCCTCCCCTTTTCTTTCCTGATCTCATGGAGGTGGTACCGTTGATGATATCCGGCACACCACATCAAGGCATCTCCATTTTTGATACGGTTTTCGCATCTAATGTTCCGGTGACCTTGAGGTGGTAATTGATTTGGTAAGTTTTGATGGCCGACTCCAATTCATCATCAAAGTAGTCATCATTGTTGGTATTGACATTCAAGTAACCAAACTTTTCGAGGTATTTTTTGAGGTCTTGGATGCCTTGAACTTTGTCACCCTTGTGACACCCCTTGAGATGGTCAAGGAACTCAAATGGTGATGAAGTTTTGTTGTTGTGGGTTTCTGATGCTTTTGCGTAGGAGAGAAGAGAAAGGAGGATGAAGAGGAGGGCAGTGCTTGCGAAGAGAGAAAGAGTTGAAGTTTTGGATGATGCCATTGTAAGGAAATGGCTTTGGTTTTGGGTATGTTGTGCAAAACCCTAATGCATTGGAGGGGTATTTATAGGTTTATAAATGAGCAGCAGATTTGCATAAACGGTCGTGACACGGTGAGATAGAGCTGGGTCTTCCATACTAATTACATATGACCTGGACTCTTTAGACTAAAGCCAAGTCTCAGAGGTACCAGAAGAAACACATAAAAATGGACTAATTCTTAGTTATATTATTTACCTAATTAAATTTCCAATCATAAGCGTCAAGTTAGTGGTGTTAATTTTCTCGTCAAAGTTAATTTCGTACAGGAAATAATGAACTACCATATGGAAAACGGAGGCACGTAGTATCCTGGAAAAGATGGAGGTAAAGTGGACATACTCTGGCCGAGCTAGAATTTTATGTTTGATGAGGTCACAATATAAAACACAAGAATAATAAGTAACAGAAAAATAAAACACATGAATGATAAATATATTAATATTCAAAATTAAATTAGTGATAAGATAAAAAGCACCACGATTTTTTTTAGCCTCTTATTATTAATATTTTTTTAGTACAAACGATAATCTAAACTACAGGAGAGCCTCAATTATTATGATGAACTAAATCGACTGCTTATTTTTTCTGTAATTAGTGCAAGTACTTTACTGCAACACACACAAGACATGAATGGTTTCTAGTTTAATTGCAAAGCATAGATGAGGGGGCCATAAGCAAAATTATACAACTTTCTTTCCAAACTTGTTAACAAGCACACATCTATATCAGTGCAATGAGAAAAATCGGTGGGGGTTGGGGGGCCAAGGCCATTGTTGGCCTTACAATTGGCTCTAGATATCCAAATTAGAGTGATGAAATAAAGAGAGACATCTATAAACCACTGAGAGCCGTTCGATCATGTTTAGTATAATAGAAATGAAGATTTTAATATAAAATGGTATTTTGTTAGAACAAAAAAAGTGGTATTTGGTATCATTTCAAAATGCCTTTTCATTTTTTGTCTGATAAGAAGCACGTTGTTGGAATTATTCAGGCTCTGTACAGGACATCCTGCACAAAGGATTTCTATTGTGGGAATTACTTCAATTTGGGAGAAAGTATTCAAGCCGGCCCACATATATAGGGCAGTGCCTTATACCTTGTTCACTTTAGTTTTACAACTGCAAACAGAGTCAATTGATTTATATATACAAAGCATGTATTGCCTTCAAATTCATCTTGGTGCCAAATATGTATGTTTGCAATAACGCACGCTAGTGCCTAGGGGTTTTGAACCCGAGACAACTGGTCTTAGGCCGAACATACTTTTCCACTATGGTATGACCCCATTGGCTATTTAAAAAGTAAGTTGCTTGTTGTCTTCTATGTTGAGTGTCAAACGCTTGTCTCCTCCCTCCCAAATAAAGAAAATCATTCAAGCAAGCAGTGGAGTTTCTTACAGAATTAGGAAGTGGGAAACTTGTTTAGGTTATAATGGAAGTTCAAAATCTAACCTGCTCTTGTATGATCTTCCAGCTTAAACACCAAAGATATCAATAAATACACAAATCTTCTTCCCTGTCGAGCACACAACTCTTCTTTCTATTTTTCATATATTCTATTTGGGACAGAAGAAGCAAAGTAGTGCTCGAATGTCAACCAAAAGAAATTAACAAAAACTGAAGTTAGGAACCAAATTTCAAACACAGAGTAATCAAATCAAATTTATCAAAAACTGAAAAAAGTTCGAAGAACAACACAATGCATCACATGAACTAAAATCAAATCTACATAACTGAAAACAGAAGAAGAGTGTATCCCAAGTCACTTGTACCAGTGGTAAACTGAGAGGGACAAAAATAGGAATTTCACATTCACCGTATCCTATCAAAATTGGTAAAATATACCTCACTTGTGAGAACCATAACCATTCATCCCCAATTCGACTTCACCGGCCTTCTGTATTGCCAAGTTTCCCTCTTCTTTAATCTCTTCATCAACATCATCATCTTCAGAATCCAAAGTAAACTGGCTCTGATTATCAAATTGATGCCTTTCGGCGCCAAGGGGCTTATAGCTTGAAACATCACCCCTGCCTCCAGTTTTCTTACCAATAATTGAGTACACTCCCACAACCAAAATCACTAGAAGAGCAAGGTGGCAATTGAACTGAAGTGTGACAATGGCTCTAGCCCTGTGATATTCAGGGTGCCCCTTACACTTCACAGTGTAATTCCCTCTGCTCTTTTCGTGCAAAGAACACCCGTGAGCTATCAAATTGGTGTACAAAGAAATACCCATTTGCAAAAACCAAGTTCCTTGCAGAAGTAACCCAACCCCACGAGCCAATTTAGGGTAATTCGATTTTGGGTTGTTGAATTCAAGCATTGTGGAGAATATACAAACGGCAATTGGCACAAGCAACATATCAAAGTACCGATTTTCAATCCCACTAGTGTCTTTTTTTCGAAGGTAAAACAGTAAAAATTCTTCAATGAAAGCGAAAAGACCAACCAAACTGAGCAACGAACAAGGCATAGTGGAATTTGTGAAGTTTACCAGGAGACCCGTGATTGCGTAGAGCAAGAAGAGCGAGGCGATTGCGATCACTTGCAATTGGAGGGCTGAGCCGACTCGGTCACTCGCGTCGTTTGCGTCAAAGAACGAAACCAAAGAATTTAGAACGAAAAGTAAGGAGATGACAGAGGCAGCGAGATAATAAATCGACGACGTGCGAGATTGGATGCTCGTCTGCGTTCTTGTATTTGAGGATTGTGAAGATGGAGGTGACGACGGAGTTGAATCTTGGTCTGGGATTTGGATTGAGGTAGAAATGGCTTCGTATGCACCCATCAGAATAAGGCCGCCGCCTGCTGCTGCAAATGTGAGAAACCCCATTATTGATCTTCGTCTTCTTCTTCTTTTCTTCTTCTCAGTTACAGAGGAAGATATCTTGAAGGCCTCCAATGGAGGGTTTCGTTTTCTGAGACGGTCTTGTTGGTATGCGTCATGTCAGATTCTGGGTTTGTATCGTTGTTATTTCCGCTGACAATTGTAGCATACCTCTGACTTTTCGGTTGGCTGCTTATCCGCATTCTGCTTCCGCGAACCTCAGACCCGCCTCTCAGGTGGGCAACTACCAGGCTGTATTCATTATTGGACCCAATCAAAGCCCAACTGCTTTTTATTAAAGCCCAGCTTATAGAGTCCTTTTTTTCTTAAACGGGTTCTTCTATATATAGACTTGCTGAATTCGTGTATTTTTTTTGACAAAACGATATTCTAAACTATTTTACTGTATCGAGAGAAGAATCGAACTCAAGTAAAAAAGACTGGCACATTACTTTCGATCAACTTACATGATGTTTGTCCTTCTTTTCATCTTTGGTTTCAGTAATGTTACGAATAGTGACCCCATGCGTGATGCATCCTACAATTATCAAAGGTTGTAAACGATCCCACATGCAGACAACGTTCGCTAGCACAACTTTCCTTTTCTTCTTTTTTTCAGTTATCGTTGCGAGCCTTGTGACTAGTGACGTGTGAGTGTTGTACAAGCTCCACCTGGACAATTCATGTGAAATATGAAAGAAAAGATAACAAAATTGAAAAAATAAATAAACGTGGGCCGGAGAAGATAGAGGCATTATCCGCAATAAAACTGATAAACGGATAGGCCCAAACCCATGCTGGGGGACCCATCCCTGTCGATCTCCCCAAGAGGCTGCAATTCAGTGCATGCGAACTCTTTAGTCATGTCTGCAACTTCCTCTTCTTTTTTTCCTTTCAATTTTGTAAAAGATTTATTTCCATATTTCCCTTCTTATATTTTGTAAAACCAAGATTTATTTCTTAGCCAGGATCAAGATTAATTTTGCTTGGCTTTAGATGTCCACAAGGGATCAAGCGCCTTTGGAGTGTCACAGTAAATTACAACGGATATTCTCTATGAATTTTAAGACCAAAAAAGTAAAAATTTAAACCACACATAACTAAAATATAAAAATTGTTAAACCATACATGTAAAAGTTAATAACCAATATTAATGAAAATGATTTACTACCATATTTATCTCTCCGGAATTGTGACATAAGTGGAAAATCATGGTAGAATAGGGATATATTGTTATCTTTTTTTATTATATAAGAAAATGTATGTATGCAATTAAACATATCTTAGGTTATATAAAAATAAAAAAATAAAAAAATAAAAAAAACTATTTTGATCGATTATTCTTAGGTTGTATGATTTGTTAGAAGAAAAATGAAATCCTAGACCCGCTCACAGAAGATATAACCTCCTCTCATGCCTTCTTAGTTGAGCTGCAAGAAAGCACACAACTGGAGCTGGTAGTTGGACCCGTCATCGGGCAGTAGATTTTGTGCGTAAATACATATCTCCTTCTTTCCCCTCTACACACAAAGACAAGGACGAAAACACAACAGAGCCATGAAGATCAAAGGTCTTGTTCACTTTGTTTATGCAATCTACTTGGTTTCTGTCCTGTTGGGTATCCAAGGACCTGTACACGGACGGCTACTCTCACTGAAGAAACCCGACCCGGAAAATGCTGCTGCCACTGCTCGTTGGTTGGTCTCTCAGAATTCCTGGGGTGTTTTAAACACTCTGTGGGGTGTGTGAGAATATACTCTCTCTCTCTCTCTCTCTCTCTCTCTCTCTCTCTCTCTCTCTCTCTCTCTCTCTCTCTCTGCTATTGGTCTATATTATCGTATGAAGAAATGCTTTAAGTTAAATTGGGGGCTCAGTTTTGCTACATCTACTGGCTTCTGGGTCAATTATATTATGTGTTTTTTTCATCTTCATTTTTTGGTTTCCAATTAGCCGGAAATATGATCTTATTTGGCTATGTGATTGCCATAATTTATTGCGATTTAGTTTATGTGTGTTAATGAAGGAAGGAATTGATGCTGCAATTGAGTGCTATAGGAACATGGATAATTTATCAATAAGTCAACCCAAATTATGTGAAGGAAAGAAAGGAAGGAACTTTTCTGCTCTTGAAATTTAACAGAACACCATTGAATCAATATGATCTAAACAAGTTTCATTCTTCTTAATACAAATGTCTAATAGAAATCTGATAACTGTTCAATTGTTTATTACAAGTCCCAATTGCTTGTCAATCTTGCTTGAAAAATATTGACATGTGTTTTTTGTGATATGTTGAAGCTCACTTGTCATTTTGTTTTTGCAGTACTATCTCAAGCGAATTGGGAGGAGCACCCTTTGGGCAAGTTTTTCTATTGCTTATTATTCTTATCTATATTCTTGCGTTACTTAGCTGCTTGTGTTTCAAGTTTCAACTGCTGTCTTCAGATATAATACCTAGTGCTAATTGCAAGATTAGCCCCAAACGAAAAGTATTTTGCTGGGTTGGCTTGAGGCAGGACATGAAAATTTTGTTTCGTTTCTTTGTTCTTATTTCTGCCCCTTTGGAGGAAAGTGTTTCCATAAAGATCACTGACAGGAGAGTGCGCTTGTAATGCATATTGCCATTTTCTTCACTCTGTGATTCTAATTTTGATAGATTCATTCATTTTTCCTTTTCCTCCAAATAATGCTCCATGTTTGGCTGAAGCCCTTGTATATGAGGGTCAAAATAATGATAAAAAACAATGCAGGAATGTGGTCTCGTTTAGCGATGGAGAACCCGGAAAAGGCAGGGGTATCCCATACTTCTACTTGACAACTCTGGATCCCACTGCAAGAAATGCACGGAAAGACCAGAGGGCTTCGTTGACAATTAGTGAACATCCTATTGGAACCTGTGGGAAGACAGACCCTGAGAACCCCACTTGTGCAAAGATTACACTTACAGGAAAGGTGTGTTGCAACAGCAATGCTATCCTGAGGGAAACTAGGAATCACGTTAATTTTGACTAACCTGGAATGTTTGGTTTTGTTTAGTTGAAGCTTGCTGATAAAGATTCCAAAGAAACAGAGTTTGCTAAGAATGCCTTGTTCTCAAAGCATCCAGAGATGAAGGGTAATTACACAAAGATTTCACATACCACCTGCAGTTGTTTCATAATTTCACTGTTCATCTTTTGCTCACCAACTAAAGTGATTTTTATTTTTGTTGGATGGTTAACAGATTGGCCCAAGAATCACAACTTCGAGTTCTTCAAATTAGACATTGAGAACATCTTCTTGATTGATTGGTTTGGTGGTCCAAAACCTCTCACAGTGGATCAATACCTTCACACCCGAACGTGAGTGTTTGATATCTGAATTGAAGAAAGAAAGAAAGAAAAAAGTACCCAAAAATAAATGTAGTCTCATGTTATCATTTCTGAATGGATAAATTTACTTTCATGTCTCAAGTGCTTATTTAAGTTTCTGTTTGGTTTTCTACTTGCTGAAAATGTGTCTCTGTTGTCGTCTACAGGACAGAATACGCCTTCATTCTGGGATTTCTCATCTAACTGCGATTCTCCCTCTTGCATGTTTATGAGCTGGATCTGCATTTGAATTGTGCATAATGTGACTCTATTGGAAATTAGAAAACAAAATTGTAATTGTATATAGTCCATGTAATTTCTACAAATCGTCACTCAAGTAAGTGTGCCGTCCAATCTGATTGAACAATTGGAGATAATGATTTGTTTGTACAAGGGGACTGTAATTTTTCTTTATGTGGTATAAGCCGAAAATGTAAATTGGCACGCTCTTCGTAAAAATAATTTGTGGTTAATGGACCTGTATGTATTATCAGAGATGTTTTCAGTACATTGTAGAAGGCGTAGTTCACTTATTCCTTAATCAGATTGTAAGTTTATTTCTGGTTAAGATTTTGTAACCAACGGGAAGAAGATGGGTCGTGAAGAGATTCTAACCTACTCTAATTTGCGAAAAACGAAATTGAAACTCGGTGCAAATAGGCGGCTATGTTACCTTAACGAATTGACATACCCCATGTTTATAAGTTTTATGTATAGAAAATACGTCTTAGCATTTTGACTACAAACTTAAGACTTATGCAAGATGAAGAAAATTCATTTGGATTAGATTAAGGGTGCTACTTAACCATGGCTCAATATTTTTGATAATCAATCAGAGTCTCAATTTTTCTTTCTTTGATTTATTTATTTGATCGGATGGCCCCATTTTTTTCTTTTTGAGGCAGATCGGATGGTCTCACTTGTATTTGGTGAAGGAGGTCATGCGCGAGTCACGTGATTAAGGATAGAGATAGATAGTCGTTAACAATTGGCTCGTTAACAGTCAGAAGCTCAGAGCTTTCTTCATCTTCTTCCTCTGCTCCCATGAAATGTTGCTTCCTCTAACTCACCTTCCCGCTTCTCCATTCCCGCCAAAAATTCTAACAGACCAATCCCTCTCTCCCTTCTTTTCCTTCCCTAAAACCCTTCCCTCCCAAAATCCTAAACCTTCCAAATTCGCAATCCGGAGCTCCACCACCGGCACCAAAACCCTTGCGCCCAAGTCCGCCATTCAACGCATCGCCGAAAAGCTCCGAAGTCTTGGATTCACCGAGAATAACGAAAAACCCCAACCCCAACCAGATACAAAGCACGCCGGAGAAATCTTTGTTCCTCTGCCGCAGAGATTGCCAAAATACCGGGTCGGGCACACGCTCGACTCGAGCTGGAGCACGCCCGAGAACCCGGTCCCGGAACCAGGCACGGGCAGAGCTATTGCGAGGTTTCATGAGCTGAGGCGAGAGGTGAAGAAGCAGAAGGAATTGGAGAAGACGGGGAAGAAAGAGGAGAGGGTACCGACATTAGCGGAGCTGAGTTTGGGGAAGGGAGAGTTGAGGAGGCTGACGACAGTTGGGATTGGGCTGAGGAAGAAGCTGAAGATTGGCAAGGCTGGGATCACTGAAGGGATTGTGAATGGGATTCACGAGAACTGGCGGCGGTCCGAGGTTGTGAAGATTGTGTGTGAGGATTTGTGCAGAATGAACATGAAGAGGACTCATGATATGTTGGAGGTTAGGCTCCATTTTCACTGAATTTATATGAGTTTGGGATTGTTATGTTTAAATTCCTGTACATTTGTTTCAAAATTCCATTTCGTATCTTTTTGAATTCTGTCAAGTGTTTTACTAAAATATTTAATTTTTGTAAGTGGAGAAAAATCTGACATTATAGTACATGTGTAAAGATAAATTTTGGAAATCTGATAAAGTTGTTTTTCCGCATGTGTTAGTTTGTACAGGGGTTATTTTAAACATGTTTGATTATATTTACTATGATGTATGATTGTAGTGTTTTGGGTATTATTTAATTCACTGAATTTATATGAGGTTGTAGGAGTATTTTAATTAAAATTTCCAACAGGTTTTGGTTTTTGAATTGCAATGCGTTATCACTTGTTATAGATTTGGGTCACTTGACATTGTATTATGACTTAATTGGATTTTCATTCTTTATATAAACATAGTACAAAAGCATCCAGCTTGTTGAATTATCCATTTGGTAATGTCGACTACGTCTCTCTAGGGTGTGCAGTGTCCTGATTTTGGTATTGTTCTAACATTCTCAGAGAAAAACTGGAGGGCTGGTTGTTTGGAGATCTGGAAGTAAGATAGTTTTGTATAGAGGGGTTAACTATAAGTATCCTTACTTTTTGCATGATAAAGTTGATGAAGATTCGACAATTGACACTTCCCATAATGTACTGCCTGATGCACGCATCAATGATGGAATAAATGAGATCTCAAATGAAGTAGACTCTGCTATAATACCAAGTACAACCAATGAAAGAGCTCAACCAATGTTAGTGAAAGGTGTTGGATTGCAAGATAGAGTTCGGTTTCAACTTCCAGGAGAGGCACAACTTACTGAAGAAGCTGACCGCATGTTAGAAGGACTGGGTCCACGGTTTACTGATTGGTGGGGTTATGAACCTCTTCCTGTTGATGCTGACCTTCTACCGGCCATTGTTCCTGGATACAGGAAACCTTTCCGCCTTCTTCCTTATGGTCTGAAACCTAAACTAACAGATGATGAAATGACCACAATCAGGAGACTCGGCCGACCCTTACCATGCCATTTTGCATTGGGTGAGTTTGGCTTATGTTCTTACAACTCTTGTTTTCTGGCCAGTGTTTAGTTACTATATTTTTTTCTTCCCTTTTTCACAGGCAGAAATAGAAATCTTCAAGGTTTGGCCTCTTCCATTGTCAAACTCTGGGAAAAATGTGAGATTGCCAAAATAGCTGTTAAAAGAGGGGTACAGAACACTAATACCGAGATTATGGCTGAAGAATTAAAGGTTGAAAATAAGCTGGGAATATCTCTTCAATGCTACCTATTTATTATTACTAGAATACATCATGGCTTGTTAATCCTGTCGATTTACGTTCAAATTGAGTTAGCTAGGACTTCTTCTGTAATTTTTGATATTTTCATTTTAAAACTTTGTGGTTATTGCTACCTTTAATAAAATGTACTCTGTTGCAGAGGCTGACCGGAGGAACTCTGCTTGCTCGGGACAGGGAATTTATAGTTTTGTATAGGGGAAAGGATTTTCTGCCGTCTGCAGTTTCTTCTGCCATAGAAGAGCGGAGGAAGTATGCAATACATGCTGAGAAACAGATTGCAGAGCGTGGTACCTCAGTTACGACTAGACAGGAGCTTGAACCCAGGACTGAACCAGAAAATAAACATGAATGGACCAATGATCATAAAATGGGCCTTCCATCTGCAAAACGAAAGCTAAAGTCTGCTGAAGTGGTTGTCAATAGGACTAGCATTAAATTGTCCATGGTATGGTTTTGTTGAGATGCTACAGTTGGGTGAATTCTGGTTCAGCTGTTTTTTGTGTTATAAATGACCTATCTGTAATGAACAGGCTTTAGAAAAGAAAGCAAAGGCAGAAAAACTTCTAGCAGAGCTGGAGAATGCAGCAATCCCCCAACAACCTGAAACAGATAAGGAAGGTATAACTAAAGAAGAAAGATATATGCTAAGGAAGGTTGGCTTGAGAATGAAGCCGTTCCTACTGATGGGTGAGTTATACTTCTTCTCTCTTGAACTCACTAGTTGTTACTTGTTACCTGATTATTTCTTCCTTTTGAATTAAATTATAGGTCATATTGAAAATGCATCAAAATATCTAGTTCCTTTAGAAGTAGTTCTGATAAGTCTTCTCTTTTAATTCTCAGGTAGACGAGGAGTCTTTGATGGAACAATCGAAAACATGCATCTTCATTGGAAGTATAGGGAACTCGTTAAGATAATATGTAATGAGAAAAGCATTGAAGCTGTTCAGCAAGTAGCACAAACCTTAGAGGCAGAAAGTGGCGGGATACTAGTGGCAGTGGAGAGAGTGAGTAAGGGTTATGCAATCATTGTGTATCGTGGAAAAAATTACAGCAGGCCTGCTTCTTTGAGACCTCAGACACTTCTGAATAAAAGAGAAGCAATGAAGCGTTCTATTGAGGCACAGCGTCGTGAGGTAAAATTGGCTTGCCCATCTTGTCACTTGCATTTAAGCTATTTGTCATCATCAACCTGCTTCCTGCAACTTAAAACACTGAAAGAAAAAAAAAGGAGCATAACATAAATTTCATCACACCTGCCCCAAAGAGACTGGATTAATGGCTAAGTGATCTAATTCCACTGTTTTCACGTTAATTACTTAAACATAGGAGTTGATCTACCCTGAAAACTGATGATAAAGGTTGGCCTTTTGGTTGGAATTGTGTTATAAAAGTATATACAGTAGAGGTCCATTATGACAAGGATCTTGGCACAATGTAGACTTGTTTGTTTTGAGGAAAAACTATGGAGATATTTATTTGTCTAGTTCCCATTTATATTCTCCCCAATGTCATATCTACCTCATCATCTGATTCCTTTCTGTTTGTTTCCTGCTTTGACCTGCAGTCGTTGAAACTTCATGTTTTGAGGCTTAACGAAAACATAGACGAATTGAAGCTTCTGTTGGTGAGTTGTCTTGGGTTTCTATATTTCTGTTTTATCCTTTTCTTTCAAAATTCTATGCCGGCTATGCCCATTCAAAGTGAGGCAAATTATGCAATGTTTTCTTGAACCAGGTTAAAGACAAGGAAGCGGACAATATGCAGTCGGTTGGTGAATCAAGAAATGAATTGGTGAGCTATCTCAGCTATCTCATGTATCTATGCTCTTCTATGCAATGTGTACTTCTTCAATGAATATTTGTGTAAACCCCCCTCCCCCAATCGCTTGTACCAAAAAAAAAGTTATAAAAGGAGGTAAAGTTAACAGTTTTGATATAAATGAGGTCAGAGAGGAGGCAAATATTGTTCAATCAGAAGAATGTTTAACATCAGATACTGAGCTTAAACATGTTTTCTCTCTCGTTCTGTAAAACCTGTTTGCCATGAAAAGAATGTTGATGTAAAGACTATGCTAATATGTCAGACTTGGTTTTCATTCTACTATATAATATGTATTTATTATCTCCCTAGTATCTTCTTCATAAGTAACATCTGAAATAGTGTATGTTATATCGTTCAAGGCTAGAGACAAACAAGAAGCTCGTGTGACTCCCGTGAATCTGAATGATGGAATGGGTGCTGTTGTGAACGGTCAATTAGCCACACAACAGGATGAGGTGATTAGTTTCTCTTCGACATGGGATGAGGATGAAATTGGTAAATTCGAGCCCGGATCTTCAGATGAATCAGTTACAAATGAGGAGGATGAAATTGGTAAAGTTGGGCCAGGGCCTTCAAATGAATCAGTTACAAATGAAACACATGCAAATTTTCTCAAGGA